AAGTGAACAAGTCGCTCATTTTCGTGTCCAACTGCACAGGCCGCGCAATTTCGTGTCCAAATGAACAGGTCGCGCATTCTCGTGTCCAACTGCACAGGCCGCGCATTTTCGTGTCTAAATGAACAGGTCGCGCATTTTCGTGTACAACTGCACAGGCCGCGCATTTTCGTGTCCGAATGAACAGGTCGCGCATTCTCGTGTCCAACTGCACAGGCCGCGCATTTTCGTGTCCAAGTGAACAGGTCGCGAATTCTCGTGTCCAAGTGAACAGGTCGCTCATTTTCGTGTACAACTGCACAGGCCGCGCATTTTCGTGTCCAACTGCACAGGCCGCGCATTTTCGTGTCTAAGTGAACAGGTCGCTGATTTTCGTGTACAACTGCACAGGCCGCACATTTTCGTGTCCAAATGAACAGGTCGCGCATTCTCGTGTCCAACTGCACAGGCCGCGTATTTTCGTGTCCAAGTGAACAGGTCGCTCATTTTCGTGTCCAAATGAACAGGTCGCGCATTCTCGTGTCCAACTGCACAGGCTGCGCATTTTCGTGTCCAAGTGAACAGGCCGCGCATTTTCGTGTCCAACTGCACAGGCCGCGCATTTTCGTGTCCAAGTGAACAGGTCGCGCATTTTCGTGTCCAAGTGAACAGGTCGCACATTTTCGTGTCCAAGTAAACAGGTCGCGCATTTTCGTGTTCAACTGCACAGGCCGCGCATTTTCGTGTCCAAGTGAACAGGTCGCACATTTTCGTGTCCAACTGCACAGGCCGCGCATTTTCGTGTCCGAGTGAACAGGTCGCACATTTTCGTGTCCAACTGCACAGGCCGCGCATTCTCGTGTCCAAACGAACGGTGTCCAAATGAATCGTGTCCAAATGGACGGTGTCCAAATAAACCGTGTCCAAATGAACGGTGTCCAAACGAACCGTGTCCAAATGACCCGTGTCCAAACGAACGGTGTCCAAATCGCCGTGTCCAAACGAACGGTGTCCAATTCACCGTGTCCAAATGAGCCGTGTCCAAGTAAACCGTGTCCAAATAAACCGTGTCCAAATGAACGGTGTCCAAATGAACCGTGTCCATTTAAACGGTGTCCATTTGATCGTGTCCAAATGATCGTGTCCAAATGAACGGTGTTCAAATGAACCGTGTCCAAGTGAACCACTCCCGCAATATCTGCACTATGTGCAAATTCGCGGCGAGTCACTCGGAACGTTTTCCGAGTGACCGAAAATGGTCTCTGTGACGTTCCCCATATCGACCAGGTAAGTAAACTTTGTACTAGAATCAATTTCATTAATTCTCCTTTTCTTTCAGGTACCGGGTTCTTTGCGGGATCGTCTCGCCCAATCAATGGACTGGTAATCATCGTCGGTGAGTATCCGAACGGTAAGTATATAAAATAAGTAAGAATGCATAATATTGCATAAAATACGACTAATCGTATTTGTCTCGACAGGGAAAACATAAAATAAAAGTTATACAATGCAAATTCGCGCTTCACGACGTTGTCTCGCTTCGCGGAGCTACGCTCGCTTCCTATTGGTCGATTCATTGCGCTTATCGGAAAAAGTTGCGCCTAGCGCTCTCATTGGCTCGAGGCCTCGCAAAATCATAAATCAATCTAAAACTTTGAAAAATCATATCAAACTGCCAGGAATCGTTCCTATTGGCTCTCGCTGTGTCGAGAATGCTCAAAACTAATAAATCTAATGAAACTAACGCGATTTTTAACAAAATAGACCGGGATGCGTCCCATTGGTCCTCGCGTGTCGGCATTTCGCCTCTACTGTCAAACTTGTAATAAAATGTTAAAATCCATATCAAAACGTGTTTATTCGAACCCTATTGGTTCTTGTGTCTCTCGGACGTCGCTATGCATGCAAAAGCGTGTGTGTCGGTTTATGGTTCGTCGGGAACCAATCGTGGCTCGGTCTCGAGACTCGACAACAAAATGTAAAGTGTGTACAATATGTAAATGGTTAGGATAGTAGGAATGTCTGGAAATGTCATTACGACAGGAATGAATATAATTAGGGTTACGACGATGTACTCTTTGAACCTCATGGCTTCGCTGTAATCGAGTAGATCGCGTATAGGCTGTATAATATTAGAATAGAAAACAATAAGAAAACTGCCGTTAATATCAACGAAGTGATCCTCTCGGGATCCATCTCCGATCGTGGTCTGGACTCTGATTGGCCCATCAATGACTCTAACTTTTATCAAACTTTGCAAAGGTGCTTTGGAATTGGTGGGATTGGTGAATGTGTAATTCGTGTGTTTTACAAAAGATTAAGGTGTATTACCATATATAAAATGTGTTTCACATGCATACATGCGCTTTATAACAAACAAAATAATAATATATCTTTTTTTTCTCAATTTGCTTTTTGGCTTGTCAAAACTAACGCTAATTCACTCTACTGGCGTTTGTACCTCGCTACTTATCTTCGCGATTCAATATGTTAAAGGTTAAATGGTTAAAATATTAAAATAACGTAAAATATTACGAAAAAAACAATAAGATATGAAAATGGGTAAGTTTCGCACGGGTCTCTGCCTCGGCGTCTCCTTATTGGTCGTTTCCAGGCTCCGACTCGTCCGGCCGTCTCTCCACCTGAGACTGTTGCATCGGCGGTTCGTCGTCGTCCTCCGGATTGGCCTCTTGTCCGGCGGGCTGTTTCGCCTCGCTCTGTTCAATCGCCTGAGCTACCTCCTCGGGAATTTGCTGCAGGATCTCCCCTATCTTCACGCTCTCGAAACTCGCGTCTCGAATCTCTTCGTTGGCCGCTACGCTGGCCGGTCGCGGTGTGCCCGTCATGCCCCGGTTCGGCTCGTCCGCCTGGTAATCGTCCGTGGGCTCTACGAACACTGGTGTGCCTCGACCGGAACCCGACGATGAAGTGGCAGGTTCACCTTGCGACTTCAAGGTAACGTTAGCCATAAAAAATTGATTGTTTTGAATAAAAACATGAAATTTTTTAATTTTTGTTCTTCTTTTGACTCTAAACATACTACTATAACTTTTGTAGCCCATACATTATTGATAAATTAGAAGTTCCAGAATTAATTTTAAGTTGAAAACAAAACAATGACATACATTCTCTAAAAAGGTATGTAAAATTGTTCTATTTTGAATGTTCATTCGATTAACTTATTGGAGAAATTGGTACCTGAAAGCTTGGTACCTTTTGTTATCATCTTCAGCATAGAAATTTTGGTGAATCAAATTATAGTGAATATTAGCTTCAGACTTATAGTCGCTTTCGTGTATTGCGTTTCAGATTTCATTAAAATGTCTACAAACAACGAGGAGGAACTCCGGACAAAATTCTGGGATAAGTTTGAGGCTGAAGTAGGCGCTTTCATACCTCTTCATATCAGAAATGCAATGGCTTGGACAATCCACTTTCTATTCGTTTCATCGAAGAAAGCACAATTGGCAACATTGATGAATTTGTCAGAAATACCATAACGAAGTTACTCGAAAATGTCGAGGATAAGGAAAATTATTTTGGAGGACAGCATAAACAAGCAGAAAATTTCAAATTCAATCACGGTGATAAGTTTCTCCTCATCAGCCTTGCCAAACACGTCAGATCAAAACCCCTCGATTACTACGGTG